AGAGACTTGACATAAGGTATATCAATAATATATTATGCGTAAATTTTATAAAATATAAAAAATAAAAAATGTAAAAATTAAAAAGTGCAAGTGAAAAGTACAATGCTTCTAACAAAAAAAAAAGAAAGAAAAGAAGACTTAAATTCAAAACCCAAAAAAGTTCTTTCTTAGAAAACATCTAAAGAAATGAGATAATATTTTGATAACATTAAGAATTATCTAGAATATCATTTGACTTGTTACACCATTCAATTCAATTATGATATGCTTATGAATTTGTTCAACTTATTTGTTTTGTACTCAGCAACATCTTGTATTTATTAGCTTTTTTCTAATTCATCTTGTGCTCTCTTATTTTTGTATCTCTAGAATAAATCGAGAAAATATATGATTGCATTATATTTGTCATTAATTGAAATGGTATTGAATGAATGATAATATTTATAAAAGATTTATGCATTCTTTTAAAAAGAAATCCAATATGATAAGGGCAAAAATAAAATAAAAAAGATGGAAAAAACAGAGAAAATGAGTTGAAAAGGCAAATAGGGAAACCAAGTAATGATTATGATAATGGATTAGTCGACATAACCTATGAGTTATGTTCAGATGATAGAAATAATATGGATCAATTGATAGAATTTATTTTAAAATGGTTAGTGCTGAGATGCTAAAAAGAAAAGATGATGAAGTCTTGAGAACCTTAGTACTACAATTAATTTAAATTTCATGAAATTGATGTTAGTGACATATACATTCCATGCACTGTGTTTGCATTGTTGTTTGAACAATGCATGTTCATAATATTTAAATTTTTGTTGGTCATGCATTCACATCATGCAATGAACATTTGAATCATGGTTTAGAGTATGACATCTGAATGAAAAAATATTTTATAAGGAAAACGTTTAGAATTTTAAAGTGGTGGAGCCTTTTTAAAGAGCATTTTTAATGTTGAAAAAAATTTGTAAGACCTTCGAGCATAATTTTAAAAAATTTTTGAATTAGAAGCTTTGAGTTTTAAATGAGAATTTTGAAGTTTTTTTTATGTGAATCTCTAAAGTTTTTGAATGAGAATTTTTGAACTTTGAGTGTGAATTTCTAGAATTTTAGTATATGAAATTCTAAAATTTATCAAATGTGAATTTTTGAAACTCGAATGGGAATCTTGAAAATTTGTATAAATCTCCAAAGTTTTTTTGAATTTGAATCTTTGAAATTTTGGACGAAACCCTAAAATTTTTGAATGAGGAATATCGGATGTGAGACACAAAATTTTTTTAATAAGAATTGTTAAAATCTTATAAGTGAGTCCCTAAAGTTTTTAAAAAATTTTTATCTTTTGGGTGTAAATCTCCAGAATTTAAGAATGTGAATCTTTAAATATTGGATGTAAGCCTTGTAATTTTAATTTGAATCTCAGAATTAAAACTTTATATATGAATTTCTCAAATGCGAATATGAGTTCTTGAGAATCAAATTCTTATGAAACTAAAATTTTATGAATCTAAAAACTTGCGAATCTTAAATCCTTATGAATCAAATTCTTGCGAATCTGAAAAATTAAATTCTTGTGAAAATGAAAATTTTAAAATATAAATTCTTGCGAAACTAAAATTTTGAGAATCAAATTCTTGCAAAACTGAAATCTCACAAAATTAAAGTTTTGCATATCTTTAATCCTTATGAAGCTGAAAAATTTTTACAAATTTAAAATTCTTACGAAACTGAAAATTCTTGTGAATATGAAAGTCTTACAAATTTTCGAATTGCAAACCTTTGAATTTTAAAATTGTGATTTTTTGAACTCAAATTGTGAATTCTTAAGTCTCAATTTGAAATGTAGATTGTTGGATTACAAATTTCTTGAATATTTTAAGTTGTGAATCTTTAAAGTTTTGAGATTTTGTAATTGCTGGTAAGTCACGTTCGAATGTAATGAATGTTTATATCTTTGTATAATTCTTGTTTTACAAAAAATACGTAAAGAAGAACAATCATAAACAACCCATTTTGTTTGGGGTTTTTCGTCTCTTAGGCTCGATCCAAGCTAAATTGTAGGGTTTTTATTCATTTTATTTTTTTACTTTATTTTGTATTTATCCTATTTACTATTTTATTTTGTTTATTTATTTATTTTAATATTTTGTGGTTTATCTCTAGTTTAATTTCATTTTTTTATCATTATCTGGTTAATTAAAAAATTTTTGAATGGTGAAGACTCAAGGGAGTGGGTGGGAGTGATAAGATTGTTTATTAAAATTGAAATGAAATTTAACTTGTGGAAATAAATTTTAATTTTTTTATGATAATACTAATCGAATATGATTGATTTGAAATTCTTCTAGGTTTAGTCATATAAATAACACAGAAGAATCAATAGAAAAGGGGGACAACAAAAATAGACAACAAATAGAAAGGAATTACATGCTCTTGATTCAGGGATTTTCATAGAATTCTGGACATAAAGGGGGGAAGAAAGGCAATGGCCATCTGGCTTGGATGTTAAAAGTTTCAATCCGGTAAAAGGGACGGTACTGTTGACTTGTTTTTAGAAGCAAAGAATAAAATAAAGAAAGGGGAGAGACGTTTCATTCTGGCATCCTTGACCTTTGTTGGTACCGTATAAAGTTTGGAGAAGACAAGTCAATGCACGGTAAAACAGATTTGACACGGCAGATTTAACTCGTAAAAAAGACTAAATTCCAAACTGGTTTTGGGCTGGCTTTATTACAAAAGACCCACGTGCTTGTCTCCGTTGTAGTTAAACTTTGGTATTTTTTTTATCTTTCTTTATTTGCCTTTGTAGTTTCTTTATTTTATGTATAATTTTTAAAAAAATATTTTTATATTTGATATGGACAAAGTATATAAAATTAAATAAAAAGTTTAAATAATTTTTTTAATTATAAAAATTTTATTATTATTTTTCTAGGGATGAAGGTTTAAAATATAAGAATATTGATTTGATAATGAAATTATAAAAATCATGAATGATTGATTTTTTAAAAAGTTTTAGATGAAAGATTTTTTTAAATTTAATCTAAATGAAAAAAAATTTAGATAAAACTTTAACATCAATAATTAATATTTATTTTTAATTCTTTTTAAAAAATAAAAATATATAAAAATAAATTTAATAAAATTTGAGATTACAATATTCAATGATAAGATTTTTTTAAAATTTTAAATGGTAAATTTTTAAAAAAATTTTAGATGAAAAATTTCTTTAAATTTAATTCAAATTGAGGAATAATTTAGACAAATTTTAATAAAAGTAATTATATATATTTTTTAAATTAAAAATAAAAAATATAACTTAAAAATTTGTATGAAAATATTTGGTAATTATCCAAAGAAAAAATCTTAAGAAAAATTACAAATGGTTGAAGTTTCATAAGATTTCTAGGTGAAACGTTTTTTGTTCTAAATTAAATCTAAATGATAGAAAAATTTAGATAAAAATTCAAAAAATAATTGTCATATCATTTTTCGAAGGATTAAGAAACAAGTGATGAATAAATAAAATAAATATATTTTTAAATAGACATAAATAGTGACAAATTTAAAAATGAAACTTGTAAAATAAAAAATAAATTTCGAAGATAAAAGTTTTAGTAATCGTAATATTTAAGATATTTTTAAGTGAAAAAATATTTTTAATTTTAGCTTAAATGGTCGAATATTTAGATATATTTTTTATGAAGAAAATTTTAACAAAAAATAAATAATTAAAAATTTTCAACGATGAAACTTTTTGAAAAAAATAAATGAGATTTTTGAATACTCTTAAAATGAAAAATATTTTTAAAAATTTTATCAGATTGATGAAAAATTTTAAAAGTTAATTTTAATATTAAATTTAAAACTATTAGAACTATAAACCTTTAGATAATTTAAAATTAAATGACAATGACGTTATAACCTTCCTTAAATATATTTGAACTTCCAAATCTAGTTCTGTTCTAAAAGTCGAAACCTATTCTTTAGAGACCCACAAAACCGTAAACCTCATTGAGGAAAAAGATGAGCGTAGTGCATGGCTGACTTTCTACATAGGCTTTCTCGTTTACATTGAAAGACTAATAAGTGGTTGCATCAGTTAATCGGATGATTTTGCATGAAGGCATAGCCTGATGTGTTTCTAGATTAATGTTTTGGAAGATGTTTGAACTTTGAAGTTTATGAATTAATATGTAAAATGCATACCTCAAATTTCATTCTTTCCCAGCATTACAGAAATAAACTACTTTTATCAATCTAGGAACAGATTCTACCGAAACCACTAGAAGGGTACAAATATATATAATCTTTGTTAAGAAATGAAACATCCCGTGCTTACAAAGCTTAAAGTGAGCTTCTCTGACATGTTGCAGCCAAAGAAAACATTATTAGAATCGTAAGTATGTTCATTGATTTTGAGGAGGTATAACACTTAGCCATCAGAATTCTAGCGTTTGCTTCATAAAAGCATCCTTGTGGAATCTATTACATGCAGATGATCTGATAAAGAAATTTGAAGCAACTGTAGCAGCAAATAAGCAGCCTGCAGGAGTTTTGAACTCTAAAATGGGACAAGTTCAGCTGAGTAAGATCAAAGAGGATGAGATAAAATGTTTGCTAACAACTCAGGAGAACTTGGAGAAACAGAAAGTGATCTTTCTAGTTGAGCAATAATGGAATTTTGCTAAAAGCGTATCAATATCTCCGAGGAGATCATGTTGAAGGTTTTTGTTGCACGTGTCGCTGTGCAGTGGTTGAATGGAGGAAACCAAAATCTGGCTTTTACTGACAAGTTTTGATGAACTAAATTCTCTTCTATGGACACTTGCTTTAAGTTAGTTCAACAGGAGAGAGATCTTGCTGCTAAGCATGCTAAAAAGAAGTATGAACAACTCCATGATAATTCTTATGCATAACATCGGGAAAGTATGCATTACAATTGGTTAACCAGAAGTTAATAGTAAGATCATCGACCTTCAGAAGCCCAAGAGTCTGTTATGGCCCAGCTTGTCAGAGGAATGCCATTAGCCGGAGAAGAATCCGGAAGTTGGAATCAGAAGCAGAAAGTCTGCGTCCTAAAGAAATTGAAACAGAAAAGTTGGTTTCAAAACTGGGAGAAGATTGACACGCTGTCTAAAGTTCAAATCATATGAGAATAAAATGTTTGAATATTAATTTAATTCATATTTTCTCTATTTGAGCTAGCCTTGTTGCTAATATAAGCCTCTTTAGTTATGTCCTACAGCAAGATCTATCGCTGAAAATTTCAGCATTGGAAATGGAGAACAAAGATAATGCAGAGAAAATGCAAGTAGAGATACTGGGAAAAACAGAAGAAATTGCTAATTTGGAAAGGGAGTGTGAGAAACATGCGGAGCAGGTAGATTCTTTGGAGAAACAAGTTGGTCATCTGCAGTTCATGTTATAGGAAAAATAACAGCTTATCCTGCAATATAAAGATAGAGGTAAGAAGCTGGAAGATCAAATTTCAGAGGTTTAGGAAACAGTTACAGAATATGTAAATTTCAAACTCTTATACAGGCTTTCATATAAATTCAAGATTCTGTTTGGTTCTGCAGAATCAGGCAATGCTGATAGCTGCTGAAAGAAAACTTGTGGAAGCGAGGAAGCAATATGATGTGATGCTAGAAAGTAAGTAGCTAGAGTTATCTAGACATTTGAAAGAGATATCTCAGAGGAATGATCAGGTATCATTTTTCTGTCAACGTTATATGAATCCTTAAAGATTTTGACAATCAGATTGATACTCTGAGGAGTTTGGTCATGCTATTAATGACATGGAGGAAGTAAGACCTGGAGAAGCACGAGATTGTTAAACTGGAAAAAGAGAAGATTAGCTTATGATTGCTGTATGTTGCAATATGCAGCAAATAGTGGTTCTCACCTACTTTAACTTTCAGGCCGACAAAGTTGTAGGAGAAATGGAAGAGATGTGACCAGAAGGTTGCAGAGTGCAAAGAAGAATCAAGGCTGCACTTGTTGTGCATTCAAGAGGAAATTTTGCTTTAGTATGGCATGGAAACTAGTGCAACTTAAGATCAAGTTGTTTGTTATTCTCTTTCAGCATAAGTGGGCTTTCCTATTGCTAGTTCTTGCTGTTATGGTGTAATATACTGATCAAGTTTGTTTATTTCATATTATAAATTTATAATACATTAGTGCATAGCTATGATAGTGCAGGCTATAAAATTCTAATCTCAATCCTGTCTTGTAGGTCACTCGATTTCAGCAAAAGCAGGATAGAAAGGAACTAAATCTCAGAGCTGACCATAATGAGGAGCTAAAACGTGCCCAACTTCAGGCAGAAGATGAACTCAGAGAGGTATTTACGTTGTTAAGGGTTAAGTTTGAATTGTTTGTATTAGTATCGAATGTATTTAATTTGCTAATAGTTTAAGAATTGATCTAGAAAACAACATCTCTTAGGAATGAACATGAAGTTCCGATGAAAGCTTTGAGGTGTCTATTTCAAGATGAGTGCAAAAGGCTTCGGAAGTAGTTAAGTCTCCAGAAGTCCAAAGTACGTATTTGCTTCACCTTTTATATTAAATGGTATAATATGTGCTCTGAACTTTGTGTTAATATATTGCAGGAAGACAGGCAGAGAGCTCTATTGCAACTGCAGTGGCAGGTGATGGGTGACAAACCACACGAGGAATAAGTGGATTCGAAAAAGGTTGGCTTGTTTCTTTGATAAATGTTTCATTCTCTCTCTCGTCTGCTGTATGCATGTAATGCCTATAACTGTCACACAAACAACTTCATGCTGTCCAAATGTGTAAATACTGAAACCTCCATTGCTCGATATGTTATAGTTAGGCTTGGCAATGATCATTTTTACCAAAATATTTCATTGAATCATGTTTGTATTTCTGAAGATAGTTTTTAAGTTTTGGCATTGACTGGATTTAATTTTCATTGTGTATTGAGCTTTGCTGGATCTGTTTCTCTGCACGATTGACTTAATCTGTGCTTTTGGAAGGGAAGCACTAGTGGATGAAGAGTAATGAAGAATGGTAGAGTCAAAGCTCTTGTATGTCACCAATACCACTGTGGCGGCCAAGATCATAGCTTAGGGCTTATGCTGAGACATTCTACTTCTACACAGGCAAAATACACCAAAACATACACAGAAAACACATATACACAAGGACGAGCAAGCATACTAGGCAGACATAGATCTTCTAGTTCTTGTTATAAGCTATTTGTAGTCAGAAACCATACTCTGTATGGTTTGCCCCGGAGTAGGATTCACATGTGGAATCTTTCAATAAGCATATATCAAAATGTAATTACATGTGTAGTATAACACATCATCTGAAATGCCATCAATTTGATAAACTCCTTTCCTTCAAGGATTATTCCATTTCTTAGATCAAGAAGAGAGATTCTGGCATCGGGAGAAGAACTCAAGATGCTCTGGTGGGGCCAGAGAATGAAGAGAAGGTAACAAAAAGCAATGAATAATTTTGACTCCCTTGCTAAATGCTAATACAAGTTATACAAGTCATCATGATTGCTCTGTATATTGTTTATAAGAATCACCATAATATACAAGGAACCTTAAATGTCATTTTATATTGTCTACAGGAATCACCATTCCCAGGTGTAACACAAACACCAGTGTCAAAATTGTTGAAGAAAGTAGAAAATACCAACACAGGAAGTGTAATGAGCATTTCTAAGCATAATAAGAAGGTAAAATACTAGTCTGCTGCCTTTATTATTTTCCATTTTCCAATTAGGTTGGGAAGAAAAGAAAAAGGATAAGTCAAACATTCATCTTTGATATTTTATTTGGCTACTGGGTCCTGACACATCCTCCTTAACTCCTTAGTCTTACCTTATGGCATGGCAGGTAACTCACCATGAATATGAAGTTGAAACTACAAATGGAAGAACAGTTACAAAACGAAGAAAAATGAAAAGTACAGTCTTGTTTGAGGTATGTACCTGACACCATATTGAGTCCATGAAAAGCCTACATCCTTGGTAAAGAACCTAATGTGATATAGGTTGGTCAATAGTGTTGTATATATGTGTATATATACACACGAACAACTCATGCTGACTTTCCTTGTCTCACGTTACATCAGGATCCAAGGAAACATAAGAAGGTGCGGACACCAAGAGCCAATACCCCCAGAAGTTTGGTCAAGGTACTCAAAAGCTAAAGAATATGTCCTGGATCATAGTCATATTTCAAACTCACTTGTACCTTTCTGCTCTAAACATAACTACTTGAAAGATTCATTTTATGCTTGGCAGAGGAAAATAGAGGACAGAAAACTGGCTAAACCATTAGGGGATCGACACTTTTAATTTACATCCTTGAATACCTTTCCCCATATTTTTAGAATTCCGACTATATTGGCATTTAATAATGACATTGCTAGAAGAATCATAGGCTAGGCGTAGAAGACTTGAAATTTTTGTTCTTGCTGGATTTGGTTATATGAGTAGTTTCTTGGTGGATGGCTAGAGGCAATTAGAAATGATAGAGGAAACAAATTCCAGCTCCTCATTAAAAGAGGTATGACCTGCAACAAATGAAATAATAACCCTCAGAAAATGCTGAAGACCAAATGTTTAGCATCAGTTGCTTCTGCACATTGTCATTGGGTGCAACTGTAGACTGGTTAACGTAAGACGAGGACTTAGGGGCAGACTTCTGACTTCTGAGAAATGGAAAGAGAAAGAGATAAGAAGCTAATAAAATAGACTAACTGTTCATAGTACTGACCACTTGTATCAGGATATGCCTTACTGTTTAAATCACAGTGTGATTCCTTTCTGACATGAGAGAAGCTCATTATTGATACATTTCTTATGCAGGGAACTAAGGGAAGTCATCCAAATGCTTCAAACATTGGTGACTTGTTATCAGAAGGTTCTCTAAATCCCCATGTAGATGACCCATACGCATTTGATTAAAGGTACTGTCAGTCTGTCAATTATCTATTCTAGCATTGAACTTCTAAATAAGATGCTTCTTTTTTTTTTTCCTTTTTCTGTATTTCTTCAGAATAATGGAAACTAGCTACTTTTTGTCCTCATCAGTAAATAAATTTTGTTTAATATTTGACATGGGATTCTTGCTTTCATAAGATTTATGTTCACATGCCAACCATTTTGCAGCACCTTAAATACTCCCAAGTGAATTAATTCTTGTTTCTGCCTTTATGCCTTATGTCATTCTGCCTCAATAAGCTGTTAAGAACTTGAATTTGAAGCTCAACATGGCAGGCATGATTGTTTGGGTGGTTGCCGTCAAATTATTCGAAAGGGATGAATTCTAAACTGTCGTAAGATGTTCTAAAGCAGACCATCTTTTCATTTTTCTACTAAAACGTGGTTTCACCTAGGTTGAATGTAAATTTATCTTGCCTCTGATGCTTAAATTTGCAGGACCGATGTACATGATGTTGATACCTGAAAGCAGCCTTATTTTTTGTTCCCATTTCAAAAGGAGCTGTTTCACGTGGTTCACTGGGTGGGCAGTGGACAGCTTGACATTGCAGTGGAGAGGCATTCAATCATTCTTTTTCGTTCGCAAGAGGCATGTGGTGTGGTCTGGTTTTGTGCAATTTCAGTTGAGACAATTTCATTCGGCATGTAAGCTGCGTTGTTGATAAAGGACTTAGGTCTGTGTAGAAAATGTACTTAGAACTTTTTGTGCAGTGCGACCAAACACAAGTCCTGATGAAATCATGTGATGGACTGATAGCCACATGCATTTTAGCATTCATGGAGCTTGTTCACCCTGAACTAGCAATTAAATACTCCTTTCCTTTGTGAATGATTTTTTTTTTTTTTTGCCTGTAACCACAAATCTTATGCTTAACCAAGTATTCTAATATCTTCAAATGTCACTCCATAATTCCGATGCAAAGTATTGTGATGCTGAACCACCTGACCTATAAAGTATTCTCTACCCAAACAAACACAAACCCAAACCCTTGTGCACTCTTTCAACATAACCAAACACATACCCATATGTTCCCATACATCATACCTATGTGAACCTTCTCAATCTCCTCTAGTCCACTCACAAACAAACATACACACCCATAAGACGTAGAGCCCCAATACTCTTATGGGATGTCTATCCCATAAAACTCTACAACTCTCTTACATCTTTTTCTTATACCTAACCCTGTAGAGACTTCACCTATTTATAGCCATACAAACTTACCCATTAAGAATCCCTCTCCTCTTAGAATTCTTCTCCTGTAAGTCAAACTTGCCTATTAAGAATCTTTTCCTTTTAAAATTCTTCTCTTGTAAGTTAAACTTACCTATTAAGAATCCTCTTTCTTTTGGAATTCTTCTTTTGCAAGTCTTCTTGTCCATCAAGCAATATCTGACAAATCCCAAACAAATCTCTAACAAATCTCTTATGGGATTTGAGTCAATATTCCCAACAATCTCCACCTTGACTCAAATTCCATCAATCATCTGTCTTCATGCTAGACATGCTTGGCTCCACCTACAATGGAAGTCTTACAATCATCTTCTCTTGTGTCTTCATGCTTCATACAAACCAATCCTCAATCTTCAAAACTTGAACTCGAACTCTTCTCTTGAATCGAACTTTCTGAACTTGCTTCTTCCCATGTCTCAAACCATGCACTTCCCACATCTCAAACTGTCAACTATTCTCATGTCTCGAACCATCGACTCTTCCCACATCTTGAATCTTTAACTCTTCTCATATTTCGAACTTTCAGTTCTGATACCACTTGTTGGGGAACACCACAGCTCTGATACCATTTGTTGGAGAATACCACAGCTCTGATACCATTTGTTGGGCTAAAAGCCTCCAATCCAATCGCACCAGCGGAAGCGAAATCAAACAATAAATCAAACACACAAGAGACAACAATTTAACGTGGTTCGGTCCAACTGACCTACATCCACGGATGAGAAACAAGATCCACTAGTTGTAGAGAATTACAAACATACATCATATCATCAACCTCACTCAACAATCAATACTCATAAGACACTCTCAATCTCCTCTAGTCCTATAAAGTATTCTCTACCCAAACAAACACAAACCCAAACCCTTGTGCACTCTTTCAACATAACCAAACACATACCCATATGTTCCCATACATCATACCTATGTGAACCTTCTCAATCTCCTCTAGTCCACTCACAAACAAACATACACACCCATAAGACGTAGAGCCCCAATACTCTTATGGGATGTCTATCCCATAAAACTCTACAACTCTCTTACATCTTTTTCTTATACCTAACCCTGTAGAGACTTCACCTATTTATAGCCATACAAACTTACCCATTAAGAATCCCTCTCCTCTTAGAATTCTTCTCCTGTAAGTCAAACTTGCCTATTAAGAATCTTTTCCTTTTAAAATTCTTCTCTTGTAAGTTAAACTTACCTATTAAGAATCCCTTGAATCCTCTTGCAGGATGAGATTATCAGAACCCTTATTACGAAGCAGGTTGTAGAACCACTAGCATAGTTGACGCCTCTGCAATCAATGGGTTTGTAGCAATTTTCTTACTCATCACCCACCATCCTGGCAGGAATGGAGTCACTCTCAAATAAGAACAACTCCTATTCCCACCACGTCCAGGGAATGAAATACCGCTGCATCCACCATTCACTTCAATACTACTTCACAAGTTCCACCACACAAGAAACTTGTTTCTATTGTCCCAAAGTTGACCAAGCAGCCATCCATAAGAACAAGAAAGCCTCATCCAAATCCAATTGTTCTATCAACTCTGATAGAACGTCGCATTCAAACCATCCGGATCCTGTCCGGTTGGATGCATTTAAATTGAAACTTAATAAACTCATTCTGCCATAAATTGTTGGTGCATATCCGGATTCCAGAATTAAACACTGCCCAATGGCAGAAACAAAATTGCAGCTTCAACTGGATTAATTCGCATAATAATTGTTATTATTGTTTAAATACTGCTTTGCTAATGGATTATTCACTCATTTAATTATTGAGGTAAACGGATACTCAAATCGCAACCCCTAAAGCTGGTACACGAGGATCAATCTGATCATCAACTGGCTAAGCTGTCGTTATATTACTATTTAGTATTATTATCATGGCTACTGCCAGAGTAACTTCAATGTATGACCCTAAAAGCTTTTAAACCCCAGGTTTAGCCTAATTGATTCATGTAATACTGCATCTAGTAAGTATGGGATTCAAACTTAAGTATCTAAGTCTCTTCCACTATCCCAAGCTGGTCTTTTTATAAAAAAAAAAATGCATCTACAACTGAAAAAAAAAAAAAAAAAAAAAAAGAGGAAAGTAACCAAGCAGAACGAAATGTAATCTTCTATGTTGGCGGTACATGAATGAACTTGATGAAATTAGCAATTATCGTAGCACAAAATCAAAATGTCCCAACAGACAAAAAAAAAAAACAGATTAATAATGAGTAAATATGTTTGGTAAATTGATCTCACACAAACAACTAAACAGATTAACAATGGTTTTTCTTCAAAATCAAAATGGACACAATACTGTTCGTAAATTCATATCCTAAATGACCGAAGTTATTTGAAAAAATTTATGCAACAGCTAGTTCAGTGATTACAGAAGGAAGATTCATTATCAAACAGAAAGAAATCAAATGCTTGCTTCATAAGGAAACTGGAAATCAACATAACCAAGATGACATGAAGAATCAGCTCCGTCAGTCCACAGAGCTTGATTTTCTTGATCTTCGATCGCTCCTTCACTAACTCCACCCTCAGATTTTCAATTTCTCTCCTCATCTTCTCCTTTTCCTGCGCCGAGTAAAAAAAAAGCAAAAACAAAAAAAATGAGGATCTGAACCATATCAAACACAAATTCGAGCAAAATAAAAGAGCAACAAAAATTATTAACCTCAGATTCGTTGTTGTTTGCAGCTTGGAAGACGCGACTTACGGTTGATTTCAGTGAAGAAAGCACAAGCGCAGCTTTGGCACAGTGAATTGCGATCTTCAATTTTCGATCCTCGTCTCTGGCTTCCCCTTCGGTTCCCTCCATTCCCTCTCTCTCTCTCTGTATAAATGAAAGCCGCTTTTGAAATTTGAACTCTGATCTTAAATAGTCCCCGCGAGAATAGCGAGGGGAAAGCCGAATGTTTAAAATTTGTTTTTTCAGCGGCTTAGATTTGTGCATGTGGGCCCGCCACTGGACTTTGCTCAGCCTGTATCACTCGTTGTATTCTAGTTGTCTAACTGTTGCTAATGCTATTTGATTTTACTACTTTTACCAATGATTTAATATATGAACTAGAATTAGCCTCCCACTAAGCTGGGGTAGATTAATTATTTTAATATAAAAATAATAAAAATAAATAAATAAAAATATTATATAAATATTAAATTAAAAATATATAATATTTCGTATATTATGATTATATTTTTTTTGTTATTTTTTCATGTTATGTTATGAGTTTTGTATTTTTTATTAATTATTTGATCAAAATGTATGATTTTAAAAATTTTTAGATTATAAATTTTTTTATAAAAATATTTAAAACAATAGAAAAAAGAAAAATAGTTTAATTTTATATTATATATTTATATTTATTATTATAATATTATTTTATATTATTGTAGATAATAAATGATAAACATACAAAATCTATAAAAAAACACATCCAATTACAATCTAATATCAGACAAACATTATATTTCTTTTTTCAGGTCTAATTAAAACCTAATTCATTGTGTTTTAATCCAATTAAAACCCAATACATTATCATTTGCCAAAACCAATAACTTATTAAATTTTTTCATCAACTAATAGCTATTTGAAAAGTTAGAAGTAATTTGGCAATTCAATTATGAGTTGCCATTCGATTGAGAATTATTTCAGGATAACTTCTATCATATGTTATTAATTAATCTACGTATTAAAAAGTATTAATTATTAATTAAATTA